GTGGAGGGCTCGTACTGAACATACCAGCTCCGAGTTATCTCCAGGTGAGAGCTGTAGAAGAACAGATGTGTTGCTCCCTTCCCCCCAGTTTGTTCTAGCTTAAAATACACGATGTTCAAATCCAAAGCTCTCATGTTTACAAGAATCACCGTTTGACTGCAGATGTTTTATCTTCCTTTTTCATCATACAAACCGCTCTTGACCTTGTGCAATAATTGCTTGCTTTTCACTCAAGCCCTCCCTCCTCAGCTATTTACATTCAGGGCTGTGCTGCTGTGATCACTGAGCCATTTGTAACAAATGTCTTCCAGGATGGATAGTGATAAGCAGGACAGTCCCCTGATTTCATTCATGATTAATATCTAAAATAGCTGTAAAAACATTTTAATCAAACCAGATGAGGGGAGACGGGGTTCTCTCTTTTACCCAAAGGTACCTCGAGGAAGCCTGCTAAGAATTGATTATTTGAAAGAAGGGCAGGAGAAAGGGTCACACTTTGCTCTCCGATTTCAGCGGTCACACCTGAAGCCCCTACAGCCCCACTGGGACCACACCACCACTTTTTCCTAAGGACAACCACCAGGGCTCCCATCCTGCGGCGTGCTGTTGGCCACCAGCACAGAGGCCACGGGACATCACCTGCGATGGGTCCAAAAAGCCTCTCACAGGTTCTTAGGAGCGCTCCAGCTATCACAAGCTGCCAGAAGACCAAGGACTTCTGCTTCAGGTGACTGAGAGCACTCAGGAGCCACGTTCTTGCCTGATGGATTCACTTCTGCAGACAGTCCCACTGGTCACTTCTATTCCTTCTCTGTTCATTTCCCCTTGAGCTCCACGGAAGGGCACATTCTTATTCTGTATATAATCCAGATCAGTTAATGCTCACCTCAAGCCATACAAGAAATAAAAAAAAAAAAAACAAGAGCTGCTGACATTTTACTGCGGTGGGTCATGTCTGAAAGAGACAAGTGTCTTATCTTCTTCTGCTCACGAAGGAAGGCAAATTAAAATCCTGACACAGTGTCCTCATATTCCTTAAACTTAGACTCAAGAATGCAACAAATAAGACATTCAACTTAACGTGGTGCTTGCTATGTTCGCTTTCCAAATATAGAAGATAGCAAAAATACCATGGCGACGTCAGGATTTGACTAGTCTCTACTGTTCATATTGTTCTTAAACACTGGGTTTTAAGAAACATAAGCTACAGGCATAACAGTCTGTATTAAAGGTTGGTGCAAAGCTCCACGTAGCCAATTAATTGTATGGTTTATCTCTGGTTTTCAAATGCTTAGTGAAGGAAAAACCGTGCAACTATTTGCTAATTAACAACCGACTGTAATAGGGTCAATTACTAATGCTGACAAAGAACTTTCTCCTTATTATGAACACGAAGCTCACTCTCTCTCTTCAAGCCAGGCAGTGCCGCAATATATATTAAACAAGCTGGTGATAAAAAAGTATTTCAGGTGTCACTTCTGAACAAGCACATTTGGATAACTTCAGAAACTAAGGGCACGAGGAAAGCTCACGCCACATAATCCCCCACTAGAGATTGGATTTTGAAGAAGTTTAAAGAACTATCGCCTAGCACAAGAGGCAGGTAGAAGGTGCTATAAAAGGAAGACAAAGACACTATTTATGGGACTTAAAGAAGAGAGGGCAAAAAACGGCACCTGAAAATCCTTAGCACTTCATACGGCATTCATTATCTTCAAAGCATTGCACAAATATTAACTAATTAATCCTCACATTTTTCTGCCAGGTGAGAGGCGAATAAGCTTAATTTAAACAGCTGGAGCAAAAAAAAAAAAAAAAAGAGATCTGTGAGAGACAAAACAAAGGCAGCGTCTGAGCAAGCCAGCGATCCTAGAGCCGTGCACAACCGCATGCCCATGGTGTCCCATCTCCCAAAAACTGGGAGAGGTGGAGAGAAGGAGGCTATCTGCAATCACTCAGCAAATCTGCTCCAGGACTATGGACCCAAGCAGGCATGACCCACGGCAAAAAAGATTACCTCTTACTTTCATTCTGCAAGCACACAAAGCTCAGTGCTCTCCATGAACACTACCTGCTGCTCCCAGCTAGCAAAGTGCCAAAATTTAATACCTGCTTTGAGATCGCCATTTCCTGTGATTCACATGCTCAAAATGGTGGCAGGATCAAGGTAAACCCTACCTTCCTTCCAAAGCAACCCTGTCCGCATCAAGGAATTAAAGGCAACGTTAAGTTTGTGACGCTGGTTCCAAGCTGCATTGAGTTTCTCCGTGCACACACCTCCAAAAGCAGCTTTGAAGGAAGGTTAGCCTCAGTACCCCCATTTTACTGAAATGGGGGACCCCAAGGAACCACGTCGCTGAAAAGCAAAAGAAATGGCCAACAATAGAACAAACACGGCACTCGTGGCCAAGTGCCCACTGCTCTCAGCAGAAACATCACTTCTGGTGACCACACCGTGCTTGCAGCAATGCCCCAGTCCTTCTAAAGGGAAGGAGAGTTTCGGCACCGGTGCCCATGGATTCAAAATGCCACCACATGAGGTGTAACAAAACCAGCCCTGAAAGCCAAGGATTATTTTGGGTAGGGCATCTAAGGAGATGGAGCACAGCCCTTGCCGCAAGTTTTATAAAATCTATATTTAAAGAGGCAGCAGACAAAGCAGGACAGTCAGTGAGGGATTTACTCTCTGCAGTGCCATTGCTCCAAGTGCAGCGAGGCGCTTCCCAAAGCAACACCTGCAGTACAAACAGGAACAGCGAATGAAGAGGCGCTGCTCAACTCGAGCCCAAGGGCCACGACATCAAAAAGCCACATCCAGTGACGTTACCTGGGACCCATTCAGATTTCAGGCTCAGGAAGCCTGACACGTTGCCTTAAAAGCTTTCTTTGAAGGCACCGCGCATGAATGGCACCAGGGCAAGCAGCCTCGTGCTTCCTGAAGGCTGTAACTTGGCCAAGCTGTCCTGACTCAGTTTCCCTGCTGCCACACCAGCACGCCAAGCACTAACTGATCTTTGCCACGTCAGCCTGAGATAACATTCAGGCGGTGCTTGCACAGCAAACGTATCCCAGATGTGCAGTCCTGCTGGAAGCAGCCGCTGGCCTCTGGTAGGGAGAAGACAGCACCTGACACTTCGGAGGAATACAAATCCCCCTCATTGAAGCAAACTCCTTCCCGGCGCCTCCACCAGCATGTCCAGCCCCTACAGCAGGGGATTTAGTCAACCACTCGACATTCCGAAACAGGGAAGTATCTCTCAAGTGAAACCACAATTTCCCTATGACTCTCCAAGTCATTTAAGAATAAAACCTCCACGGCAGGCGGAGACGGCCACGGATTTGCAGCGCTGCGGAAGATAACCGAGCATCTTCCCTCGGAAAACCTTGCGGCATTTTGTTCATCCAGCTTTGCAGCTTTACTTCGACAAACACAGGAAGTCCCGCAGAGATAAGGACTTCAATTCTCGGAAGCTGCCTCAAATTTTGGGTCCTGTTTTAAAAAATGACCCCTGTATTTTAGGAGCACTGAGCATGCACAGCTCTAGCTGCTATCCCAGGTGCACTGCTGGCACTCAGCACTTCCAGAAGAAAAAAAATAAATAAATCACATTCGGATACATAAAGAACAGTTGTGTCAACCTAAACCGTAAACATCAAGAAAGGCAGGGCTACAAAGAAAGACAATGTTCTCATTAACCTCTGTCCCACCAAGTGGCCAGCATTACCTGCACTTTAACTCTGCACACTGAGAACATCCTGATTTAAGCAGCCTCACTGCCTTCGCAAACATTGACTCAAGAAAAAATTAAAAGCAGGTTTTGCAATGTCACAGCTGTAGGCTAGTTTTTTTTTTTTTTAATCCTGGCGTAGAGCGAGTTACATATTTCAAGATGAAAAATCACACCTTCAAGTGCAAGATAATGCAAATTGGAAGAAATAATTTAAACTACTTGTACACAGCAAAGGGGAAAGAATTAGCTGAATCAACAGCTCAATGAAGACATCTGCTCAGCATGCAGCATCACAGAGCAAATAAAATGCTCGGGCAAGTTAAGAAGGGGAAGAGAGAATAATGTGGATAAATTATAATGGCATCATATAATTTCACTGACAATGGCAAGCCTACTCTGCTCCTCTCAAAGGCAACAGGTCCGCGATACAAAAGGTCCGAAGAAGGCTAACTGGAATAGCTGGAAGCAATGCATTCACAGGAGGAAAGCCTGATTTCACCTGGAAGAAAAAGATCTCTCCACCTATGAGGAGAACTCACAGCAAAACACTTGCATTAACATAAAATGAATGTTACAGTGAATGAAAGTCTACAGTCTCAGCGGACGTGGAAGGCAATGTCACAGCTAACTCCCCACGTTTATGCCTCGAAAAGGAGGGAATTTGGGTGCAGTTGGTGCACGGCACATGCCCAGCGCTGGGCGCACGCTGCCACCAGGACGGCTGAGCGCACCGGAGAGGAGGCACGGGCAGGCGAGGTGGGACAAGGCGCTCCCAGACCTCTCCAGCATTTCAGGAAGAGTTCGCCTCAGCCTCACTGTAACTCGATAAATAAATTAGAGGGGGGCGGGGGGAGGCAGCCCGGCGCTGCCCCGTCCCGCAGCGAGCAGGGCACAGGCGGCGGTGCCACGCCGGGGCTGCACCCACAAGCTGCGCGCTGCGAGGCCCCGCATTTCAACCCTGGCGTGCTGCGAGAATTGCGGTAATTAGCCATTAATTATTAACTCCGTGTGCCCAGGCTGCAGGACCAGGAGGAGCTCACGCCCCGCAGCCAGCGAGGCAGCCCCGCTCGCTGCAAAGCGGGGAGAGGGGAAGGGAAAGAAGGGCAGGGACGGGAAGGGAGGCGAGGAGGGGCAGGGAAGGGCGATGCTCACAGCGGGGCTCTGCGCCACCCGGCCCCAGCCCGCTCCCAACTTCTCCCAACTCCTCCCGCCGCGGGGCACGGGGACCCCGCCGCGTCCTGCCCCGTCCCGTCCCGTCCCGTCACTCACCGCCATGCCCAGCAGCAGCAGCAGCAGCCCCAGCAACAACCCCGGCCCCGGTCCCGGTCCCGGGAGCCGCCCGCGGCGCGCAGCCCCCGCGCCCAGCCCCGCCGCAGCCATCGCCGAGCCCCCGCCGCTGCGGGCTGGGAGCGGGAGCGGGATGCGGCTGCTGCCCCGCTGCTGCCACGTCTGGCGGCGCGCGCGCGCGCTCCGCCCGGCCCCGCCCCGCCGCCCCGGGGCATGCTGGGGGTTGTAGGCGCGGCGCCTCCCCTCAGGGCGCTGAGGGGGCTCCTGCTCTGGGGGAAAGGGGCGGGTTGAGGAGGGGAGCCCCTGGTACTCACAGGTCTTAAATCCTGAAGGAGAGCCCTGTGGTCCTCACATGTCTTAAATCCTAAGGAGGAGTCCTGCCTTCGTCTCACACCTTAAATCATAAAGGAGAGTCCCGCGGTCCTCTCACCCCTTAAAACCTAGAGGAGAGCCCTGCAGTCCTCACGTCTTAAATCCTAGAGGAGAGCCTTGCGGTCCTTGCATGCCTTAAATCCTAAAGGAGAGCCCTGCAGTCCTCACATGTCTTAAATCCTAAAGGAGAGTCCTGCCTTCCTCTTATGCTTTAAATCCTGAAGGGGAGTTCTGTGGTCCCTTCACCCTTTAAAACCTAAAGGAGAGCCCTGCGGTCCAACAGTGCCAAACTGCAGGGGAATAAGTGCAGGGAGCCTGACCTGGATCTGTAACAAACACAGCTCTCTGACCTGGCTCGGTCTGTGTGACCTCCATTATAACAGCACTGCCTGGCTGCACCCAGGCCAAAACTCAGCCCATGGCCCCAGTTCAGCACATGCAGCGTCCCCACTCTGCCTCACCACGATATCCCGGCTGTCCTCCGGTAATCTGAGCACCAAAGCAGGTCAGGGGTGTTAAAATTGGCTTCCCACAACCAGGCGGGATCCTCACCTGCAGCCCAGTGGCCGCGTGAAATTGTTGCTTGGCTCGAAAACATCAAAGGGAAATCAAAGGCGTCTCTTTGAGTCTGATCCTTGCGGCTGGCTGTCGCCTGAGCATTACACCAAGAGGCTGGCTTCAAGGGAGCAATTTGTAGATCCATACAGCTGACTGATCACTTCAAGCGGTGATCATGAAAACTGAACACCGTTGACATTAACAAGTCCCCTGGTGGAGATGTAATTTTGCAAAGCAGAAATACACATCAAGAAAGTTATTACTATGAGCGCTTACACTTTTGTGGCATCTTTTTGCGGCGGGAACTGTGCACGCCTTCCTCAGTCACAGCTGGCTAACCTTTAGCAAACCATTTCACAGTGCTACACCTCGCTTCCCATTCTCCAAATAGGGCTGGCAATTCTTAGCTTCACCTTAAAATGCCAGCGAATGCCCAAGCAGAGCAGAGCAGGAACCGACAGGGGGTTGGGATGAGGAAGGACGCACAGCCAGAGAGGGACTTAGGGGAGGAAAGGAAAGGCAGGAATCTCTTCATCTACAGTGGAAGGCCCCAAAACAATAAAATAATCAGCCTGCCAGCAAAAGGCATTGGATCCCCAGTTGAAGCCATTTCAAACAAGCGAACAAACCCTCCAGGAACAGGCCACCTCTTCCAGACGCTGCTCACCTCCAGATCACTAGCCCCGAGCTGAAAGGCTTCTGCACACAACTACCCTGACTCATTCGGACCTCTAATCTCAGTTGGATATCCAGGTCCTCAAAGACTGTTTGAATCCTCCTGTGACTCCTTTGTGTAGGAAACTGTTATATCTTCTGACGCTTCACATCACAGTTACCAGTACCAGGCAATGCAAAAGTAACCTCAGTGTGGTGGATTTTCTGAAAGATTAATCAAAAAAAATAGTCCAGTTTGGAAAGCCACAATTCTTATATACAGAAGAAAATAAAGAGGGTATCCTTGTGACAACTACAGCTCTTTCTTTCAGTTCAGCTCAATAATTTGTATTGACGTGACAGGCATTGCCTGAACTTAAAAGACAAAATCATTGAGCATTTGTCTCAGGTCAAAATAATATATCAAGTATCAGGTCTGGACTGGGCTTTCCAGTGGCAAGTACTTAATCAATCCAGTTGTGCATTACTAATGAACTCATTACAGTAGTATCCAAGTTTTACCCTGTATCTATTTGGCATTAACATAACATGCCACTTGCTTCTTCATAATTGTAATATTGGTAGAGGGCACCCCAAATAAATGGGTGTCAGAGCACCCATTAATTCACCACTGAGAGGCAAGAAAGAATTACTGCCCTTAGATTATAGATCAGAAAACAGTAGCAGAGAGATTATGTGATTTGCCCAGGGCTATAAAACCAGACAGTTTCAGATGAGGTTCGTTTCCAAAGTCTGCGTTGGGACTGCTAATCCTTACTTGTCTGTCTATATTCAAATGCCTATTTTACCAAGAATAAAATATAAAACTGGACTGACAGTAAGTATGTCTGTAAGGAATTACACCTTCTGTATTTCCTATATGTTGCTGCTTTATTTGACAAGCTTTATTCTTTGTTCTCATTTTAACCTGAGCAAGTCTCTGTCAGTTTCTCATAAAAGGTAAAATGAGTCACCTTTACCACACAGAAAAATGACAGTAGAGCAGACAGAAAAAGACACAAGCACTTTGCAAGCCAAACTGAATCCAGGGGCAATCCAGTATTCCACACCGGGACCCCAAACCACATAGCACCCAAAATGAAAGGACAATTCCCTCCCTGCCGTAGCTGCATCAAGGTCTCCTCCTTCCTTCCAGCACCATCTCTTCCTTTAGTTCAGCTTCAGCCAACTGTTTTTAATCTATGGTCTTATCTCCTATAATTTTTGTGACATCTGTGTCATGGCACTGATTGCATCAGCTGAAAAGAGACATACGAGCTGGTTGCCATCAACAGATTGATGGTATTGAAGCCCTGGGCTCATCGTGACCTTTCCTACAGCTCTTCTGCACATGATGAAAAGGAAAAGAGACAGGACCAGCCCTTGTAGGACTTTGCATGGGAGTGGTCTCAGAGAAGAGGCACAGCTGCACAGTGCTTTCCTCCAGCTGATGGCTGTCAGAAGGGAGAGCCTGAAGGCAGCTTTCCACTCCTGCCTCCTCAGCACCTGGAGCGGGGCTGCAGATGCAGCGTATCCATACACATCAGCTAACAAGTTACACAATAGATTATTAGCACACCAAAATGAGGGACACAAAGGTGCGGATGTAATGTAGAGGATTGTTTCTTAGGCTGAATATTCCAGTTTCATACTTTTGCATAAACTCTTTTTACCACTATTTTGTTAATGGTGGAAATACTTCATGAGTCTCAAGAGACTGCTGTCTGTTACTCTGCTGTAACACGTCTGTGATTTTCAGCTGATTCACTCTCTGCAGTGAATGGGGATGGCATGAAGGCAAATCAGGATGGAGTTTAGTTTGAAGGCTCTTAGCCTTAATGCTCTGCAAGGATGCCCTGTGCAACCATATCGCTCAGTGTTTCCACTTTCTGCATCATACCCCTTTACATTTCTGAGGTCCTGAAGGACTGTGCACTTTTTGTACAGAGCATGCACAGCACAAAGCAGAAATACACACATGCTGTGAGCTTTCATGGGAATTTTACTTTGGTACTTTATTGTTGTTGTTTCCTTCAGTCTAGAATCAAAGTACTTTTGGACCACAGGTAGACAGATGCTCTTTATATAGGAGAGGAAAAAGAGCAGTAGGTACTGCAGGAGTCAGTTAAAAGTTGAGTACAGATATTTTCCAAACTTTTCTTCCTAGAATTTTTTCCATTACAGTTTTTATTGCTTTCTTTAACTCTGAGGTCTGCATGCCCCTTTAGGTTTAAGTGGACCTACTGTTAAGAACACTGTCATTTCTTTCACTGAATTTCCAAAACTGGATATAATGTGTTCCTGAGTAACATAAAAAACCTTCTACAGTATGGGCACCTTGCTGGCAGGTAGTAGATAATTTATGTCTCTCAGTTACCTGCTGAGAGAATAGCTTAAACAAGATTAAAACAACCATTGGAGTCTAGCTGTTGTGTAGTAACTACAGCAATACCGAGTGTTTCCAAAGTATTGCAGTTGAGATGGTTTTCTAGTGATTTGCAGAAGCTTTATAAAATATTTGCAGGCTGTTTTACCTTGAATGCATCATCAGGAAAGGGTTGAACAATGAGCTTGTGAAGAGAGCTGAGATCTGAATCTGAATTCAGTCCATAGCACAACCACAGGTTTCCTGCATGAGGATTTACATCTCATATGGTCTAGCAGGGGCTGATGTCTCCACCTGTAAAACAGAAATATGCACATTAGTGGAGCTTAGCTAACACCCCTTGGATTGTGATGGCACCTACATACCCCAGTAACATGGGTCCAGCTGGTTATTTTTGAAAAATAAAGGTCTTAATTCTGCTGGCAAAATGTTTGTCTTCACTCTGTAAGTTCACATACTGAGACTGATTGTGCCATGCTGCTCAGGGTAGCATCACACCAAGGGGTGGCAATGGGGAAGTAGATGGGGCTTCTTGTGTGAGTGGAGTTATTATGCCTCTGGTCTGGGTACACAAAATATTCATGCATACAAAGGACTAAACATAAAGGTGGGATTATAATTATATAACTGAAATATTGTTTGGTTGACCAAAATAGTGTTTGCACTAGTGGCCTCAGTCTTCGATGGAGCTGCATCTTTCCACAGTAGCTGAGCATCTGGCTCTGTATTGTACACAAAAAGTGTATTAGCATTCAACCATCAGATATTGTATATTTGCTGCAAACAATGTTCCACTAAAATATTTTTCATACATCTGTCCTATGAGAATATAGCCAATATACGCAATACATCTGTATTCAGTACTTTTTCCTCTCTGTATGTAGGTAGATAATTTTATATCTATGTTTTCTATATGTGTATATACACACGTGCACACGTATACGTGGCATATATTAAATTAAACAGATGTTTTGTGGCAATTTATATTATTACATATAATCATAGTCATTATCCAGTCAATATGTGTTTTTTTTCTCCGTTTTTCAGCTTTCCTGGTATTAGTTTGTGTGATTAAAGTACTGCCTGGGAAAGCTCAAGATCAGCAGATGCAATTAAATGTATGACTGTGCAGTCACTAGTTACTACGTGCAATAATGCAGACTTTAATGAGAAGGATTTCCTTCCTGACAGACCTTGTCTTTGCAAGGAC